CCCGGACCGGGGCACAAACCCGCGCCCCCCGCATCGGCAGGCGGACCCCCAACCACTGCGCCAACCGGGAAGCCCGCGTTTTTGTTTTTTTAAACTATCCTTGCATATCTGACCATCCTGGACAGGGTCGCTTCTGCTCAAGAATAGTCTTAGTATTAAGCCTTGTCACTTGGTAGGGAACCAAGGCCATCACATCTGAACAGTGAACTTGTTTTTATTTAAGCACTATGAAAACTCACAGGACCCTTCAATATTAGTACCAAGCAGGTTTGTATATGACCTAGCCTTAATAATACAAGAGATTTGCTGGAAAAGTGAAGGTGATATCTTTCATCTGTGTGAGAACTTAAACACTAAAAGCAGATGATTTAATTTCATGTTATCCTTGGACTTTCTTCTCCAAGGTTGTTCAGTGTATTCCAAATAAGTATGGGCGATATTTTAAAGTACATTTTTCTGTTTGAATGTCAGTGACCCAAATTGTTTTAGGTGTGTTTGCATTCAAGTCACTGCATCAGCAAGAGACTCTTGCACCCAAGAAACCATTTTTAAATACCGGGAATATCCAGAAACTGTTTTCCACGTTGAAAATTCAGGAAGGAATGGAAATATTGAAAAATATGTTCCTTGTTATTGGAGTGTAAAGTGCTAGAAAGACTTCAGTAAGGAAATTAAGACCTTTCTTTTTAAATTCAGTACTACTAATTAAAGTCATACAGTATCTCAAGTATGTAAATCTAATCAATGACACCACAGATTCCTGGGATTGCTGACCTGGTGAACAAAATAAATTGTACTTTGACTCATGTAAAAAAACAGTAGATTTGGGGATAGTACTATTGCTGATTTAACAACAACACAGGTGTACTCCTTTCTGTTGTTGTTGTTAACTTTACAAAATATAGGAAATGGGAATTCAATTGTGTTTACAATTTGAACTCAAATGTATCAGAACAAGGATGGGTTAAATGTCTTTTCTTGAAATAATGTATTTATAGAGTTTGACACAAAGAAAAATAGCTAAGATTCTATAACTCAGAAGAATCAAGAGATACTGCAGTAACACAAAATTGACTTTTAATGTTTGTTTACCAGTTCATTGTATCTTACAGAAAATGAAAACATTTTTTTTTCTTTTGTAATACAGATTGGTTCTTCTCAGATTTGTACTCAGTAGGTATTAAATGCCTTGAAATACTGACTTCCTTTTAATCAGGTGGCGTAATGACTTTTGTATTTTTCATTTCTCTCCTTGTACATCATTGCTGTGCTGGCAGTAGTGAGCTATGATACAGTTAACTTCTCAACAGAACTGTGTCAGTTATCCATCGATCATTCTTGATGCATTCTATGCTGAGAATGGATGGGTAATTCCCTTTTCATCCTTCCCTCTTTAGTAGTCAGCTACTCCTGAGACCACCATATTCTTTGGAGCATTGAAATCAAGAAACCCAGTATGGCTGCCAGCAACCAAATTGGAATCTCCTTTGAGACTACTTCTAATTGCCAAAATAATAAGTGACTATATTATTGCATAAAATAAAACTTTAACAGGTACCAGCCCCCTTTCTATGAGAGAAAGTTTAAATTTACAAATACCATATTTGATTAGAAATTACTGTGATAAAATATGGCAGCAGTCATTAAAAGATGGCTTCCAGTGTTAACATGACTAACTTGTTTTTATTCTTATACTGTCTTTTATATGAATCATTTCTTTCTGTTTAGGTTTTCCAATGTAGGTGAGTCAGTGAAATGTGCAGATATACTTTGTTCCTTAAATGGGCCAAGTGTTAATTATGGACAAAATGATCAAAAGATTTCCTAACCCAGACTCCCATCTTATCCCTCTGATACTCTTGGTACCCAAGTCTGAGGAGCAATTTTCTGAATTAACCAGTGTTGTACCGACTTTCTGTTAGGAATTGTGTTAGGCTAACCTTTCTTTTTCAGACATTCTCAGTGAGATACCTTGAGGAATGAAGTAGGAAAATAGACATTTGGTGGAAAATGGCAAAATAAGAACATTAAAAAGAAACTCTTATTCAAGGAGGAGTCCAAAAAGGTATGGGAACTCTGATCCTTTGGGGGAAGTCAGAAGAAGATAAAAATTCTGCCCAGCAGTATTCATTCTTTTAAGACATATATATATATATATATATATATATATATATATATTTTTTTTTTTTTACAAGCATGGAAAAGTGGTGTGCAGTCAGTATAGATTTTAATCAACTAACAGTCACTCCAGAGATTTTGATCAGCACCAATTCCTGTACTAGTAAGTATTCAAAAGTTAAGAAATGCTACTATGCTTAATATTATAAAGGTAGAGTTCTGCAGCAATAACTGAAAATTATATATCTGCTTCAGTAGAAATTTGTGTCCATTTGCAATTCCAATAAGATTTTTGTAACGTGGGTAATAATCATTCAAGTATGGGTTTCCTCCAATGAGCTAACCCCCATATTTGAGGTACTAGAGTCACTATTTTGGAGATAGTCCCTCTTTGAATAATATATTCATCTTATCCTAGACCATTCAGGTATTTTTAATTTAGAAGTTTGAGTTCTATTTGTATTAGCAGTGTTTGAGTTAAACCTCACAATCTCTTTGGATTTATATTTTTTGTACAATTTGCATATCCAACCTAATGTAAAAATGTGCATGCATACATTCTCATCTTTTAATATGAAAGCATCTGAAAATTTCCAGATATGCTTTTGGTGGAAGAAATGATTTACTTTTATTTATAATATTCTGCCTAGATAATGTATGCATATAGTTATGATTTCATGGAATTCCAATTGTTCTATACCTTCCACACACATAATTCTACATTTATAGAGTAAATTTATTAGAATTATTACAGAGCTTTGAATGCAACCACAATCAATTCAGGAAACAGATTTATTTACTCATGTTCATGGGAGGAAAATCTACATAAAAACATTCATGAAAGCATACGAGCTATGTCATACTTGGATTATTATACTAAATCCCATTTATTAGAACTCATTGTGAAACAATGGGAAACCATGAAATGTAATTTGAATACAAATATTGGTCCCTGTGGGGTCTCAACAGTCATAAAAATATAGGAAAACCGAGCTTTATTTAAGATTGGAGCTGCTAACAGGGAAAATTGTTTTCCTGAAGCTGTTCTTACCCTTTCGTTTAAAGCCCTCAAGATTTTAGTGTAAACTCTTTGATGACAGCTTCAGCATTTCATTTAAGCCTAATGATGATCAGCAAGAAAAGTGACATCACTGACCACATTTTCTATATGGAGAAAGGTTTAAAACTACTTTGTTGACTTTTTTCCCCAAACACAGGCACCATTTGGGCTTTCTAGTATATATACAAATAGGAATAATAAGAATTTTTAAAGTCGGGTTCTTATTTCTTGGCTAGACAAGTATAGTAATTCATTCCTTTTATGATTTAAATGTTTGTCATGTCATGTAAATAAAGAAATATTAAATATTTTAAAGTTATTTTTATAGGACAATAACATTTCGTAGGCTAACATAAAATCAAGCTGCTAAATTTTACAATTTTTCTGTCCAGCAGTTTATCTATATAACTGCCCTGAGTAGATGCTAAATGCTGCTTAGCAAACGGCCCTTAGAATTTAAATATAACTCAGTAAAGCTACTCAAAAGATAAAACAATTCTTCTCAGGCATGTGTAATTTTAATTAGAAGAAGGTAGGAGTCTCATTGGTTAAATATTACTTGCTTATTTTAGTTTCATACTTCTTATAAATGGGATTATTAAGGGGTTTTAAACTGTGCTTGTTATTATACATTGGAGTCCATATGAATTTTTTTTTTTTTTTGGTCAAAAAGGCAGGATTTTAAAGAGTAAAATAATTCTGTCTATTGGAGCTTTGAAATATTTTAGAAAAGTGTAGATTGTTCCCTTGTGAAACTGAGTTTTGTGCAGCCTCTCAGAATCTCACTTTATGTAAAGAAGCCTGTATTTCAAATCTGTTGCTCTAATCTGTTTATTGTAGTGCATTTCAAAATTGTACAAATGTGTAAAATTTGTGCTTGTGGCAGCTGCTACTCTGAGTAGCTTTACTTTCCTTAATTGAATCCTAGCAATCCTTAAGCTATTGCATGCCCCGATCATGAAAGGATACTTTGTTGGGATGATGTAGCCTAAACGGTTTGGCTCTAAAGCCTCCTTATGTCGTGCTTCCCTTAAAATTATATTAATTTATAATATATATTGAATGATAGCTTTACAAAAACAAATTAATGAATTGGTCTTTATGAAAATGACTTTACAGTAAGTAAAAAAGGGTTATCACAGTTTTGGTAACTTGCATGAGTTCATATTGAAAAAAAAAAAACCTTTCACATGTTCTTAATGACTTTAAAACTGATGTGCTCCAGGGGCACGCTCAGTTGTATGCTCTGAAGCAGTAGACACCAAACAGCTTATGCTTTTTATCTGGGAAACCCACGAAGCGCACTGCAGCCTCAATAGGACTGCAGCGCCTTCTTGGCCTAGAGATGGGGTAGCGGACACTGCCGTCCGCCATCCAGCCTGCATCGCAACGGTCATATCCCAGAAGTTTCCAGGCAGCGAATATCTGGCCCACTTTAGCAATCTGAGCACCATCACTGAGACAGGCCTGCACCGCTTCGTCGTAGGTCAGCTTGGTGGGGTGGATCAGGTAGTAAAATCGGCCTGTGGAGAAAAGGAGAGAGGGTCAGTGGGCCTGTCTGTGGCTCAGCCCCACAGAGGTGGAAGGAGCCCTAAATGGAAGTGTTTCTCAATGAAGGAGGATATAGAGCAGTGTCTGTAAAGGTTCTGAAACATAGGATTGTCAGTTAAATGTAGTGCCCCTAGGTTGCTCTCCATTAAATTAGTTTTTTCCTTGCCCCTTAATGTCAGACATGCCCTTTTGGAACTGTAAAAAAGAAAAGGGAAATGACAGGTCTCTTTTAGCTAATTAGTGGCAAAAAGGGCCCTTCTGTGGCACTAGAGAAGACAGAATTCCATGTTAAAAGCAAGAGCTATTTAAATTCTAGCTGTAGCAAGACTGAAGCCCAGCACAAGTTTCTAGAGAGGCAAAATTTGAATGTGAAAGGATCAAAAAACATTCCTGACAGAAAAGTCCATTTAAAAATAATCAAAAGCCCTCAAGTCCTTTTCATTACAGGTATCAATAAGACATTATTCTTATTCAAAGACTACAGTATGAAAATGCAAAACATACAGGAAGTCACTTGCCATAAATAATATGGACTCAGAATGTGAACTCAGTCTGTTCACTCACTAGCAAAGATGAAGTTAGTTAACTATTTTTTTCAATTTCCCTCTGTGGGAGCTCTGACACCTAACCATTTCTTAATTTTACAAGAAAGAGCAAGTTAGTCTCAACCACTAATTTAATTGTGTTAATTACTGAGATTCCTTCAATTTGTATCAAATATGCATGAAATGTATAAAATATGACATCAGCTGACTAAAGTGATACCCACCAGTGCAAGATTTTCTCAGACTTTTAGTTTCCGGCAGAATAGAATCAGACTGTCTAACCTGATTACACATTGTAATGTGATACCCTCCTGCCTCTCTTTAAATACAGATGATTGAAGTCTAAATTAATGCTTGCCTGTTCTTTCTAGACTAAGAGGATATGATTTGGAGAAAGGGCAGCCGTCACGGGAACATTAATAAGAGGGTTCGTTCTATCATCTGTAGCTGAGGCCGGCAAACTACAGCGCACGGGTCCAGTGAGGTTTTATTAGAACACAGCCACACCCATCTGTTTAATATTGTTCATGGCGGCTTTTGTGTTATAACATACAAAGCTACATGGAGTAGTTGCAACAGAGACCATATGGCCCACAAAGCCAAAAATATTTACTGTCTGACCCTTTACAGAAAGTTTGTTGATCCCTGATCCCTTGCTGTTTTCGCCAAAGCATGTCACCAGGCACCTGAAATATAAAATAATGGGGCCAGGGCCAGCCTCGTGGGCTTGCGACCTGTACAGTTACACTGGGCCGCACGCATGATTTAATGCTTTACTGTGTCAGCTTAAAATTCTTAATAATTGTTTAACAAGGAGCCCACGTTTTCATTTTGCACTGGGCCCTACATGTTACGTCACTGGTTCTGGAAGGAGCAAGATAGGGTTGGGAGCTGTGTCACATTCAATGAGTCAGTCATCAACACTGATACAGCCTGGATCTCTCACTTCTGCTTTCACCTCCAATGTTATTTCTGCTTAATTTTCTTGCAAAGGTCTCTTTATCCTGAGCCCTCTCTTTATCAGAGAGATAATGCTCTCTCTTTATCCTAAGCTTTGCTGATCATCTATGAATAAATTGACATTGTAATTTAGAGACGAAGACCGTGACACAGATGCCATCCTTACTTCAGTGGAGAGGTCTCTATCCCATGGAGGGCACACAGTGGCAGCATCATCTTTGGCAGTAAGAAAAAGACTCCATACAACATGACAGTTAAACTATTTCATAATAACAGTTGGATGCAATAAAACCAAAGAATCATGGAAATATGTACTTTTGCTTGATGTCTGTGGATTTTAAAAAATTATGACATTTAAGAATTTCTTATATCTGGAGCAACACTTCAAAGCTTTTTTTCTTTTGTTTTAAGTAGATAAGATTAAAAGTTTAATGTCACATCATAGTATGTATTGGTGTCTGGGATAGGAAACAAGGCAGTATGGTTAATATCTTACCATTGAAGTTGGATGTAAAACAGAAGACATCGTATCTGCTTTTATCTTTGTCCCAAAACCCATAGTTCCTGACTCCGGGCACTGTGTTCTGGCCTCCGCAGGGTTCTCTGGGTTTTGTGATGGGATACTGTACAGACCCATCACTGAGCCAGCCAGCATTGCACCAGTCCAGCCCACCCCTCCAGGCATCGTACAGCTGGTCAAAGGAGGCGATCACAGCATCCTGGTCCAGACAAGCCTGCTGTGCCTCGTGAAAATTGAGATTGTAGCGCCCCAGTCGTGGAAAATAAGGAAATACCACACCTGTCCAAAGGAGAAGGCAAGGAATCGTTAGTGGCACAAATCCCACTTGAGTGGGGAAAACCATAATAGAATCTCCATCAGATGAAGGAGCAGTTTTTGTTCAGCTTGCAGTGCTTTCTCATGGTCCCATTTCCCTTCAAACAACCTCTCAGCTCTGAGTACCTCACAGTTAGCCCTTTGGTCTGGTAACTTCAGTGATTTACCTCTTTTGCTAAGAGTTCAGCTCAGTCCTCACAATTCTCCTTTCCGAAACGATTCGTCTGCAGATTATAGTTTCCAAATAGCGCTCCCTGAGAACTTACCTATTGCATATCTGACAACAACATAATTAAGCGGTCTTATTTCATATTAATAAGGTAACTTTTTACGGTGAGGCACTTCTGTAAAAAACATCGTGGCTCTCTTATCTGTTTCAACTTTTAGTGTAGTTCTTAATCTTATTTAATTCTGTCCTTGAACAATGCGACTAAAATAAGAGCTTACGTTTTTTAAATGTTTCCATTACTGTTTTTCAGTTTCTGTATTCATGTATTGCAAACTGAAACTAAGCTTTTAAAAACATTTTTATTGCAAATAGGGAAAAAAAAAAAGCCTCCAGAAGCTTGTCCTGTGCAAGGTAGGTACAAAATAGACATCTGTCAAAGTTATTGCCAAAGAATTAAATATTTTAGAGGACCAAAACCCTTAGTATATGTAAACACTATGACTTGGCACTTGACTTTGGGAAGATGCAACAGCCTTCCAAAAGCATTTCTTTCCATCAGATAATCATGGGAGGTGTCTGAGCTGTTTCACAACTTTCTGCACAGTTTCTTTAAAGGATAAGGATTGCATCATAAGAAAACAAAGTTGTATCATTTGTATCACTATCAAAATGTCTCCCCCCATGGTTGCTAAAAGACAATTAATTTCAAGTGATTATTCAAGGCTTTGCCTTGACTTTTTAAATATAATTAAAAATAATTCATATTTTAGTGTGTGGAATGTAAAAAACTGTCTGCTGACGCAGTAATTTGGTGGATTATACCAAATGTGCTATTTTATGAGACTGCAGACCCTATACAAGATGGATGCACAGTCCACTAACAGTGTAAACAGTGCACAGGAAATGTATTCTTTTAGAAATTGTCCTGGAAGACTCTACAAGAAGAAATTTCAGTAGCCTAAATCAAGTCACATCCACTGAAAGTCTCTGCTGGACATGTTTTTCCCTGTAGGGCAGTCCAGCTGGCACCATCCACTAGAGGCAGAGATCCAGGAAGGCTTCCTGATCTCATCCTGCCTTCTCAGGTTCTTGGCTGAAGGATCTGTAAGCTGAATCGGAGCCAAGAGTAAGGAGGAAAAGACTCCCTTCGTTGCCTTTGCCCCCTGCAGCAACGGGCGGAATGGAGGTGGGGAAGGCCTGAAGATGACTCCTTCTAAGAAGGGCTGTGCCCAGGCATCCAGCTAAGACTCAGTCAGCCCTGGGAAGGAGCTGCTCTGGTGCTCTCCGTCCCCTCATGCCT